TTCCTGCTGCCTCTTACCAGATTCCTCCCCCTTTTGTTATCTTTGACATTCTGAGCTAGATTACAGTTTATTTTCTTGAGGTCGGACCTTGCTAGGAGCACAGAGTAGAAATCATACAAAGAAAAAGATGTACTGGAAATAGAGACCCTAGTTTGAAGATCTGTTGTTTTGCTTTGGTTTTTCTTTTTAACCTTAACATGTTGAGTGGGATTTCATCTTTGTTTCTAATAAAGAGGTGGAAAAAAAAATACCTTCTTATTTAAGACAGCATAGGATTATTCAGCTGCTCTAGTCACTGTTGCTAAATTCTCAACTTATCTCAGTATTTTCATGTAAATAAGTGTAGTCTGGCCAGTGCAGCTGTACACACAGAACCCTACCTGGGGATTCTGGAAGGTGCCTTCTTCTGCCTCTCAGATCCTTTGTGGTGTTGGTACCTGCACTCTCAAGACAAGCTCTTGTATCGCCTGTCTCCCTCTCTACTTCCCACCCAAAACACACTTCTGAAGCGGTAAGCATGAAGACACTTCTCAAAAACCACTTAATAGATGCACAAAATCTTGCCCCCTATTAAAAAAGAAAATAAATACTTCCCCATGTGAACAGCTTACAGAAAAATCAAATAATTCACTTTTTTTCTTAACTGTGCTGACAGCAAAGTAAAAATAGTAAATCAGATCTAAGTAGCATCATTCCCATTGTGTCTAGTGTTAAACCTCCCCCAGAAAGCTCATCTCTCTTATGGGGGTCTTGCTCTTACTTTGTCTAGACTAAAGTACCACTAAACCATGAAAACTCTTTCCTTCTTCCTGGCTTTGCGTGGTGGTAAAGTCGTGATTTTTGTGGGATTGCCGCACAGATTTGTAAAACGGACAAGAAATTAAAACCGTGCTAATTACATCAGTTCTGTTAATCTTTTGGACTTTAACAAGTAACTTGCGTTGAGTGTAGCAGAGTGGACTCCTTGCATCATAAAATACACCAAAGATGCAAAGCAAAAACAGTTCGATGCCCATGTTAGTTCCCTTCAGACACCTGGAGAAACTGGGGCCTTGTTCCCAACGCCTTGTTTCCGTGTGACATCTACACAGTAAACAACTGTAAGAAGAGTATTTTATGTTTGTACTTTGTACAAAGTACACACTGCAGAATTAAGATTGTGTGAATAGATGTTCTGGGGAATTTGCATGTGCTGAGAGTGAAAAAGAATGATTTTTACAACAGGAAGGTACTCGCTCCAGAGCCGTTTCTATTTTATGTCTTCCTGTTTTGTGGCTGAAGTATGGAATACAGGATTAGTCAGGCCAGGAAAACTTGTGAATGAAAAATGGTAACATGAAAAACTTGATTAACACTGAGACAACAAATACCTGTAACAGTTGTACAGCCCTTCTGAGTCTGGAATCACAAGGGTATGTGGGCATAGAATGAACCAAATGCTGTTGACATTGAGTTCTGCATGTGTAATGCCCGTGAAGTTGAAACAGTCACTGTAAAATCACTTTAATGCTTTTAATGATTTGCTTTTATACTGCCCTTTTTCTGTATGGCTGCTTGCCACTTAAATAACTAAGAACCATTATGGAAATGTAGTGTGGGATTTTCATTTTTAATCAAAGAAATGAGCTGAATATTTGGGGGTTTAAGATGCTTTATTGAATTGGACAGTTTGTGGGTTGTTTCACTGCTGGGCTTCAGTTCAGTGTCCATCTTGAGTGACTGTGCCATGAACTGCTGCTAATACGGCTTTGGCCCATTGCCTCTGGGGGTGACAGTTTTCTTTTTTTCTTCCATGTTAGAACCGTCCATCGGTAATCACCTGTGCTTCTGCGAACAACCGGAACTGTAACCTCTCACACTGCCCCATTGCTCACAGTGGCTGCGGTTCCACCATGCCAGCCTACAGACGCCCCTCCAGCAGTAAGTTACATGCCCACACTCCCAGCTGCCCCTTAGACAAACCCGTCTCACTGTTAACTGTGTAGGCAGTGGTATATTAACAAGAATAGGAGGAGGTGAAACAATAGACACCTCTCTGTCAAACCCCAAGGCACGCTAGCACCGATCCCCTCTCCAGTCTTGCTAACCATCAACCCTATGCCACAGCAGAAAGGACCAAGGTGTTCTTTCTTCTTGTTTTGAAAAGCTTCTTTTAAAGAAACAAACACCCCACACAGAGAAATAAGTAATTATGTTTATTTTGGTGTAGCTGGCAGACAGGGCCAGCAGACCCAGCCATGCTCTTATTTTAGGAGCCGTAGTTTCCCCAGTCTTTCAGTGGTCAGTAGACTTCTATGATTCAGCTGCAGTCACGAAATTCTTTTCCTGCAGATACAGCTGCTCTTCCAAAGCACACCCCCCTACACCTCTCTCCACACGGATGAGACAAAACGCTTTGGATGGCAGTTGCTATAGCAACCCAGGCAGGGAGCTTTAGCTTTCTGCCTTCTGGGCAATTCGTACTTTTCACGAAACCTTTTCATGCAGTACTTGCTGGGGAACCTCAGGCTGTTTCTCTTCGCTTTCTCTCACGGTGCTGCTAGGGGAAAACACAGCCTTTCTTATTTCAAGCCATATACCTGCCTGTGCATAGCTTTAACGCACAGCGTTTCCAAAAGTCCATGGCAGCGAGGCTTCATCTACCAGAATGTGTCGATGTAACAACACCAGCACAATGTAGGTAGGAACCCAGAAGTCTGTAGTAAGATGGTGGTGGTGAGGAGGATTTTTATTTTTTTTTAAAAGATCAATGTATTGTTGAAAAGTGGAATTAGAAGCTGAAGTGAGACCCTGGAGGATGTGTCACACTCTTAGAGCAGTCAGAGATCTAAGATGTTGGAAGTTTTTTTTGAAAACTGTGTTTACTTGCAAGGAGAGCTGCTTCAGTGAGACCCCAGCTGCATTCTCATGGGCTTTGGAATAGTTGTGTTTTCAGAAAGTACTTGTCTCTTGTCACTTGCCTTTGTGCGTGACATGTTTATTTTGGGATCAGTCAAGCCTTTCTGTAGCATGATGGACGATGTCATGGAACCCAACAGTTTTTAAGTATTTTTGAAAGATAATGACATTTAAACATGCAGATATTGCTTCTAAATTGTAAAACTGCAATTCATATTTATTCTGAGGAATTACTACTATTACCACTCGCAACCTGATTTTTAAGGTTCTTTGTTCCTCTTGTGTTAGTATTGCGCCATTTTAATGCTCGTGGTACCTAGCGCAGAGGTAATGATTCATTCAGTTTTCTGTCTGGCTCCTCCCATGAGTACGTCAAGTTTGCTGAAGCCCTGACACTGCCTTCTGGCATGCTGTGATTCAGAATGGGTCTCCTCGCATCTGACTGCTTGAGAACCGTTTCCACCTTTAATTCTATTCAAGCCAAAATACAAGGTCTATGTGATTGGCTTGGGAAGAGGTTTCCACAAAATCAGAGCTGTAGCTGTTAGAAGACTGAGGGAGAACTGTAACTGTATTAAAAATGCTTACCTGGTGTGGGTCACAGAAACTCAAAAATATGTAACTCCTATTTATTACTTTTTTTTTTTTTTAACTCCTTCCATTTCTCCCTGACCCCACTTGCTACCCGTTCTGTAATGACGCACAGGAGTCTTGCTTTATGCTGAGATGATATGAAAATGGGGGGAGGTACGGGTTCCGAGTCCAGTACTCGATGACAGGATTCTGTGCTGAAATAACACATCTTCTGCCTCCTTCCCCACCCAGCTACCACTGCCTGTGACCCAGTGGTGGAAGAGCACTTCCGTCGAAGCCTTGGCAAGAATTACAAGGAGCCTGAGCCAGTGGCAAACTCTGTGTCCATCACAGGATCGGTCGACGACCACTTCGCCAAAGCACTTGGGGATACGTGGCTTCAGATCAAAGCCGCAAAGGATGGCGTCTCCAGCAGTCCCGAGTCTGCTTCACGGCGGGGCCAGTCTTCCCCTTCCTCCCACATGGTCAATCATAATCACTCGCCCTCTGTAGTCTCATGAAGAGAGGACCGTTACGTATGTGAATTTGCATGGTTTGACTGAGCTTTGAACAGTGCTTACGATAGTCCTGGGGGAGGGGAGATTAGTTTTCAAACACATTTTTGTGTACTCACTTTTTATTTGTAAAAGGGTGCCCTTAAAGATGATAGCAGGAACTATTTCATAAAGATTCATATGATGTAGCATCCTTTTTTCCTGCCTCAATTACCAAAGAAACCTCTGATGCAAATCTGCTGCCCCTTAAAAAAAAAATAACGCATGCTAATCCACACAAGCCATTACACGTAGTTGGTTGACCCAAACGCTTTTGCTTTTATTCACTTCTCAAGACTAGAATTTGTCTGGTTTGCTTACGTTGCTTTTTTTTTTTTTTTTCCCTCTGTGAAGTAATTTTGTATGTATATACTTGAAAAGAACTGTCATGTATGATTTGCACTATTGGAGGAGGACTGAAGTTGCGCAGCAACTTTCTGGAAGATGCTGATATTTTGAGGGCAAACTGCTGAAAAAAGGGTTTAAGGAGGACATTTCTATCAGTTTGATTTTTCTTCAAGCAAAGCAGCTTTGGAAGGGGAAGTCTCATACAGGTTATAGGTCTTTCTCTCTTTAGATTTCAGGTGCTTAGTGCTTGCAACTGGACTGCATTATTTACAGAACACGGGCATTTTTTTCCTGAACACTGCAGTTTGTTAGGATAGAGCTGAGGTTGGAGGGTTCAATAGTGCTTAACAATGCATGTTTTATGAGAAATAGCTGGTATCTATTAATGTATAGACGGTAAGAATCATAATACTTATTAGCTTTTCTTCAGAATTAGTTTATTTTTGTCAGTAACAATCCTAGATATACTTACTGCTGGTACAGTTGTACTCTACGATATTTGTATGTGATACTCACTTTAGTAGCAGCCAGCAAAGAGGACAGCCTCGAGACAGGCCTCAAACGATGCAGTTTAGAGACGCGACGCATGGTACAGGACGCTATAGCTTTGCGCGTGACTGAGTAATTGTTTCTGTCTGCAGCGCTGTCTGCTTAACAGCAATTTGCTTCCTAAAACTAAGTCTTGGTAATCCACCTTTAACTAGCTGCAGAAACTGCTGCGCTGCGTAGCTTGGCTGGACAACAGATTGTTGCAGTTTGTGAAAGATGAGCTTTGTTTTTTTTTTTTTTTTTCCCCCCTAAGCTTATTCATAAACCTATGCCGCGTTGCAGCATACATTCCTCCATTAGAAAACTTTATACAGGTATTACTGCATTTATTATCATTTGCTATATTAATAGCTACTAACTAGAACTTAGGCAATAGAGGCAGGCGTAAGCCCCCAGCTGTGCTAGTACTAAGAGCTTCTCCTTGTTAAGCGTAACTGCTCTCCCCCATACATTCCATCTTCCCAGTACAGTTGCAATGAGGGCTTTTCTCTTTTCATACTGGGTTACCTGAAATGATTGGTTCAGTGCAGAAGGTTAGAACTTGTTGGAAGGTGAACTACACGTGATGTATTATGGACTATGTTACAGTATTGGGTCCATTGTGGCTTTTATTGTATGTTTGTTTTTTTTTTTTTTTAAAGTTAAGCTATTTAATTTGGAAAAGGTGCAGGGTAGAAAGAGATCAGGAGATTGGCTCTTACTCTTGTTGAGAAGGTGGCTGCTCGATGTTCTTTAAAAAAAAAAATGAAAAAAAAAAAAACCAAGCCCACCTAAGCCCCCAGTTTTACACATTTCACTACCATCTTACTGGGTAGTCAATGCTTCCTTGCTTTGGCATTCAGTACCCTACTCTCTGTAGGAAGATTGTTAAAAGAACACTTTTTTATATAGGTAACTTTAAGACCATCGTTACGCTGTGCGTAAAGAATGTACAGAGAAATTTGTAGGTATTTTTTGAGGAACAATTAATTTGTTAATGATATGTAGCTATTTAATTTTTCCCTTTCCTTTATTGTAATCATTCAATTTTTTTTTTTTGAGAAAAAAGTTGATCTTTTTTTTTTTGTTGTAGATTTGTCTGTAATACAGTAAAAGTGCAGGAACACAGTTATTCTATGAGAACACTGCATTAGCATTAATAGCCACTAGTTTGTTATTGCTACAGGCTACTGAGCATTGTAATGGTAAAGTACTAATGCTGTAGATGGGCTCTGTGGAAAATGTGACTCCTCTCTTTCTTTGTAGACACAAATAAGATAATGTTTTTAAAGCTAATATTTTCAATAATAGCTGTTTTACGAGGTTCCATTTACTTATCTGCGATAGGTAAATGGATTTGAGGGCAATAAAGATTTAATGTGATATGTCCGGTAAAACGTATATTAGACACTCTAACGTCATGAAAGCCAAAGGGTTGGGGGGCGGTGGAAGGACACTGAATGGAACTCGCCACTGTCAGCTGCGGTGCAGTTTCTTCACAGAGCCAGGTTATCTACAGTCCAGTTTGAAAGATTCTCTCTGTGTTTGTAAATCTGTAATATACCATTCTTTTGTGGCCTTGTTTCACCTGGGAAAAAAAAAGGTTTGGCAGGCCATCTCTTTTTTTTTTTGTACTTAAAAGTAGCCTTAAAGAACAATAAAGTGCTCTTAAATCACAGACATGTGCATGCTCCTCTGTATTGCTGGGAAAGAGGAAGGTGTTGCTGTACCTCACGAGCTGCTGTCCCTGCCAGGGAGGCCAGGCCAGCTCAGGGCCGTTACCTATGGCAGGGCCTGGCACAGTCGCTCACCGCAGGGCTTCTTCCCTACAAGCACTGGAGTTTTGTAAAGGAACAGTCTTTCTTTACAGTGACAAGGAGGAGCTGTTGCTTACCTTACCTCCATTTTGTTTTGTCCCTCAGCTTCTTCATGTTCTCTCTAGAGGCCAGAAATCACTCCCCGAAGACAACAGTAGTATTTCACATGCAGCCAGCCATGCCCTTGTGTTTTGGGCACACAGGGTTTCACCAGAAGCACATCCACTCGTTCAGCTGCAGACAGTTAATCCTTATAAATAGGTGTCCTAATTACCTGCTTCTGAGCAAGTTCGGCAAGCCAGGCAAGAGAATTTCAACTCTGGCTGTAGTAGAGGGGCCTCCAAAATTAAAAAAAAAGGAACCCCTAGAAATAACGCAGTACCAGTTACTGCTGTATTGGAAGTGCCCGCATGGTTTGAAAACCAAGGGCAGCATGGCGGAACTTTCTGCATAGTTCAGGGAGTGACACCTTGGGAATACGGTCCTAAGTATTTCAAACTGCAATATGAACTCTACATACACCCCCGTGCACCATGCTAGGCTGATAGATGCGACAGTTTGACACCACAGGGGTACAACTGGAGCACAGAACTATGTACAGGAACACAGGTGGTACGAGTGGTATGTCTGCTTACCTGCTGAGCCCTGTACCCACCGCGTCGCTGGTAAATGACCACCAAACGGATCCAGCAGCCTGTCCTTGCCCCATGGGGCTGAAGGGACCCAGCGCCACTTTTCTTTCTTTTAAAATGAAACACATGACGCAGCAAAGGGCTTTTGGGTACGCAGCGCCGCATTCCATCTGGGCCCCAGCAGGGCCTGTACTGGGTGCAGGCGTGTCGAAGTCAGATGGCAGCAGAGGTTGCTGCTGCTGCCACAGAGACCTCAGCAGGGAATGGCTGCAGCTGCTCATAAAGCAGCTATGCTGCTACGTGGTATAACTGAACTGTTAGGCTTTAAAACTGGTGCGTGCACAAAACTGGAAATTGTAACCAGTCCACTATCACAGCTGGAGCTGCAACTGCACCAGTTCAGAAGCTGCTTCACCAGCGGCAGCTGAACTCCCCTTGCAGCTGGGCTGAATGCTCCAGAGGGTGCAGGGACAGCCGGGGGTGGGAACAGAGCCAGATGTTCCTAGGAGGTCACATCAGCCAGGAGAGAAAAGATGCAAAAAATCGTCTCTCAGCCTCATTCTGAAGCCTCTGTGCAACAGCAGAGTTCAGAGGCCTCGCCGCTTACACTGTACATGCGCTACAGAAGAGGTGTTCCACAATGGCAGTGCAAAGGCAGGCTTCACCGCTATCCTGATGCCAGGCCAGCACGTCATGGTGCTGAACATGATACCCTGGCAAAATGCAGAAGTATTTTCAATGTTACTTGTGCAAGAGCTCTCCTCACCAGAGCTGGCATGCTTACGCCTGACTGCGGGGAACGGTCACTGCTATCTTTAGCTCCTTCTTGAGGAACAGTGAAATAAGAAACTGGGCTGCATCCTCCTGAGGTACGGGAGCTCCCATTTCATCTGGCATGGGTACAGCTCCCCATACATTATGCATGGCATCTGAAGGGTCTCCCACTCTTCCCATAGCGGACAGTTCCTACACAGCTGGATTATGGCGTGTGCTGAAGCACACTTTATCCTTGAATGGCCCATGCAGAAAATACACCAATTTAATAACTAAATAATTTTTTAACCTTTAATGGGAACACTCCACCCCGCTCTGTGGAACACCTATCTCGAGTGCATTTCTTGGGTATAAGACAGCCAAGATAAAGATATTTCAATTGTTTGTTTTTAAACTGCAGTTACATTAAGCTCCACAACAGCTGCCTTGTGTTTCAGACAAAGCTCTCCTGTTTTCCCTTGGTGGTCTCATGATGCAGCACACACGGCAGCAGCACTACGCGTCTCCAGAGGGGCAGGAGGGAGCGCTCCTCAGAGCTCACGCTCCGTCTTGGAGCGTTCTCCTCCTGTGGAAGAGAAGTTTTATGTGGCTTTTACACCTAAGAGAGGCATGGGGAGGCTCGGGGAGGCAGGACCTCTCTCCAAGAGTGACATTTAATACAGGTGTGGGCTTATTCTCCACCAGCAGGGCGCAAGCCTTGAGAGAGACCAGCAGACCTGGGTAGGTACCACTTACCTCGGCATGCATGGTGAGACCAGGAATAACCACGTCAGTACATGGCCTCCCCACTGGTGCTCAGCCTTCAGTCTTGGAACCTTCTTGATTCTAGAGAAGTTCCTGGGTGCACTCGAGCCTAATCCTGCCCAACCAGGAAGACGCTGCCACTAACCAGTTGTTTCTGTAGAAAAAGGCAAGAGGAGAGCAAGTCATTTCACCCTTGATCTAAAGCCACAGGCGCCACTTCTTTCTCCAATTCTCTAATTTCAGACTTTCTCTGAGACATTGAAAATAAATAAATAGTTTTCGGCAAACTCAGGTGTCTTAACAGCACCCTCAGCACAGGCTGAAAGAAAGCAGAGGACAACTCAGTCCAGTGTAGAACAGCCATTGCAAAGACAGCAGTTAAATTGCAATTGTTTTGGGTTGGAAAGGACCTTTAGAGGTCATCTAAACTTGATTTTTCATTAAAATTCCAAGGACAAATCTGGCCCTGGTACATTTTATCTGACATAAAAATGGTTGGAGGAGCACCTTGTCACAGCACAGAATCTTCATGGAGCTCTGGAGCTTTTAGTTCAAAAACCACAATTTGAATTCCTAAGTCTTTGGTCTTCTGCAAAAAATTCTAATCGGGTGTTGCGCTTCCTCTGTGTTTGTGTTCACTCTAGACTCACTGGTGAGCTTGGCATCAGGTTAGATTTTTATTTGCAGAAAATTTTCAAATTTTCCTGCTTAATTCTGCTGGGCAAATCTGAGCATGGCACTCCCAGAAAACCACCAACAAATAGACCAAAGCATGCTCAAGGAAGTGGAGTGGAGCACGAACTGCTCTACGAGTGAGACCCTTCTGCAGACTGCTCTGCACACACTCCCCAGGTGGAGACAGGGCAACATCACCATCCCAGGAAAAGCACCCTGCCTCTTTGCTGACACGCTCGATATTCCCAAACTTCACTCACGGGATTTTCCCTCTCCTCAGGAACTTCCATACCAGTAAATACTGGCTTAAGAGAGACAGCTCTCGCTGGACCAGCAGGGCAGTGTTCACAAAGGGAACCACACGCTCTGCTGAGACCATCGCTAAAGTCTCCATGCACAGTTTATGCTCAACATGGACAACGCTCACCTCGGGGAGCACCATGAGCAGCAGCTCTCCGGATGCAGCCCTTTGAAGGAGACCAACATACCCACATGCCTGAGGAGAGGCACAGCAGGACTGGTGCCAGAACGCCAGGCTGTTCCCAGGACAAGCTCCTCCTTTGTTGCTCCTTCCTCTGGTGCTAGAAGCAGGCACAGCATCACACCGAAGGCAGCCTCCATCCTCACCTGACAACAGCAACCCTCAGGAACATTAAATAGAAAATTCCTGTATTTACGTGTGTGACACAATCGAGAGCCTGGCTCACTGGACAGCGATGCATGAAACGGGGAGGGGGGGTTTATAGCTGCTAATTGCTGTATCACCAAAGCATTTGTACCCGATTGCCATGCCTCTCTGTTAAGAATGGTTGGCATGGGACTAGTCATACATGGGTATTCAGGTTGGCATGCATTTATATTTTAACAGAGCTGGAAAAAACAGAATTTGTTCTTCTATAGGCTACTTTTAAATAATGACAAAGCAGTTAACTGACTTCCAGTCAGAACATGCTTTGTTACATAGACATGAGACTGCTTCAATCCTTTTTTGCTTGTAGGCTAGCCAGTTACATTGTTCACTGTTGCACTGATCAGTCTAATTTTACATTTTATTTTGCTAAGCAGCAGCTCCTTAAATGCCAAGGAGAACATCTGTCTTCTCTCCATCACAAAGACAGACACAA